TCCTCCTCACCCACTCCCCCCTCTCCTCCCTCTTCTCCCCCCACCCTCCTTTCTCCCTAACAGTTTCTCGGGCAGTACAACCTTCACAGCCAATCAAGGAACACCTCTGTCTGTACTGGGTACCATAGGTGTCTGGGACGAAGACTTTACTCCCCCCAACAACGAGGTCTATATAGAACAACTGCACGGAGATACGCAATACTTGCGGGTATTCCCAAACGGTGGGTCATTTAACCCCTTCACTGCTGAAAAATTTCCATCAACATCTGTACCTACAAGATTAAATGTTAATTCAAGGAATATTTAAACACAGAGAATAGTATCAGAATAAGCAAAATCACAAGCTGTAACTAAAACAACTAAAACTTTTGTCAACCAGATGAAACAATATAAGTGGAGAATACAAGCCAGGGCATACGTCTACCCAGCAGTGAACAGGTTAAAACCCTATCCTTACGCCCTGTGGTCATTTCGTACTCCCGGGGTTGTGTTCTTCACATTTTAGAATACTTCTAGTGCGAAAACCTCTTTGAAAATTTAAGTATTTCTCGAAAAATCATTTTGACACATTGCTATACAAAGCGTACGGATCGGATTAATGAGTAAATTTCCTTTTTGGAAAGTGATGGCACAGAGTTCCCCACGTCGTATGGACACGATAGTAGAACACGACGTACGGATAGGGTTAACATTCTTGTCCTGCATGTCAAAGATTAGCGTTATTTCAGTGTGTTTCCAAAGATTAGTGTTATTTCGGATTCCCCCAACGATTTGCGTAATTTCAGTGTTTCGCCAAAAAATAGCGTTAATTAATTACTTCCACTAAAGATCAGCGCTATTTCAGTGTTTCACCAAAGATTAGGGTTTACATTTCGGAGTGTCACCAAAGATCAGGGTTATTTCAGTGTTTCTAAAAAAATTAACGTTAATTCATTGTTCTACTAAAGATCTGCGCTATTTCAGTGTTTCGCCAACGACCAGCAATTAAATGTCAGAGTTTCACCAAAGATCAGTGTTATTTCAGGTTTTCAGCACAGATCAGTGTAACTTCAGTGTTTCCCCAAAGATTAGCGTTATTTCAGTGCTTCAGAAACGATTGGCGTTATTTCAGTGGTTCATTTACAACTTTTTCTTTTTAACTATTTTGAAACTTTTATCGATGTTTATTGATTTGCATATTTACCGTCTGTGATTATTCAAATGATTAAAACTTTGACGAAGAAGAAACAAGAATTGATGGAGACTTCGGCATTTGAAGTTTTATGACATTATAGAATAATGTACTTTGTTTTGCCTTTGTGGGCTTCTCCAGGGACGTGATGAAATCATCATCATCATCATCATCATCATCATCATCATCATCATCATCATCATCATCATCATCATCATCATCATCAGCGTCCTTGTACAATATCCACCTATTGTGTGCCCCTTTTTAAACTTCGAGCTTTTGACAAGGATTATGATAATGAGGATGATGCTGATGATGGTGATGATAATGATGATGATTGTGATAATAGCTGCGATTACGATCCCTGCACACACACACACACACACACACACACACACACACACACACACACACACACACACACACACACACACACACACACACACACACACACCCTCTATCTACCCTGCCCTCCCCCCCCCTCTTGCCCACCACAGGTGAAGTTCGTTACGTGAACACTATCCCGGAAACGGAGCACGGCCGGTCGTTTTTCGTCACCGCGGTCTGTAAGGACAGAGGCTCCCCCGTCCGCTCTGCGACCGGCACCATCATGTTGACCTATACGACCACAACGTCAACCACCACAACCACCACCACCACCACAACAACCACCACAACAACCACCACACCGCTGGTGACGACGGTCGAGGCTGACAGTGACGATGATCCGTTTGATGACGAAGCGTTCGTTGGAGTTTTCGCTGCGCTGATGGTTTTACTGGCAGTTGGTGAGGGTCTTTCATTTTTGTTCTGGCTTAAAAAAAATATTTTTTGTTCGTTTTGTTGCTTATTTTAGTCAAAGTATGACTCTTTTCGTTTATGCAGCCAGTCATCTTGGCCATCTGCTGATGAACTTTCTAAAATCTATATCCCTTGATTAGATAAGGAATCGATGATATTTTTATATTAGTCAGACATCAAAGAACAAATAAATTCAGGTCATTATTTATTATTATAAGCACACGGTAACCATGGTAAAAAAGGAAACGTCCACCATATTGGATAATTTGATCAAATTTCAAAAGCTATCTTCTCTCTTATTTTTTGTCCGTAGGCTTTCATTTTTAGTATGTACAAGCTACAACACCTATGTTATGAACAATTAACGCCAGATTCGCAATATTACTGTTAGGAAAATAATTATGGTCTCTGGAAATATTATTATGTACAATGGACAAATAGGAAAAAACCTCGAAATTCCCGACAAAAACACTAATTGAAACTTTATTTTCATAGTATCTTTAAAAAGGCTGAATTTCACTTTCAGTAAAGGTCACCTATGGACGCACATTATGTTAAAATATGAAGCCATTCAGATGAAAAATAACGGAGAAGACGTAATTTAAAGTCGGAAAAATATACATTATTATTTGAAAATAATGAAGAAAATATTTTAGAAAAAGACCCAAAATTGCAAGTTTTTTTTAAAAACACATTTTTACATGACTTCTAAACATAATTGACTGAAACTTCTTCTCCTTCTTCTTCTCCTTCTTCTTCTCCTTCTCCTTCTTCTTCTTCTGCTTCTTCTGCTTCTTTTGCTTCTGCTTCTGCTTCTGCTCCTGCTTCTGCTGCTTCTTCTTCTTCTTTTTCTTTTTCTTCTTCTTCTTCTTCTTCTTCTTCTTCTTCTTCTTCTTCTTCTTCTTCTTGTGCCTGAAATCACGACTACTCTGTTTCCCCAGGACTACTGCTGGGCCTGATGTATCTGCTTCGTTATTGTTTTCAGTGGCAGAACTGTTTTAGGATGAGGTGAGAGCTTGTGTGGAGGTAGAACGTTAAGGGGACTAGTATAAATAGATATAGCATTTGTATGGCGCAAATCCCTGTTCGACAGTAAGCTCTATGCGCTTCACAATCTGTACTTTTAGACCAACAGACCTAAGAGCATTCTGAAACAACCTCAACTTCCTGGGAAGCATACAGTGCAAGCAGCCATTTATAGGGGCTAAAATACCAACAAATTGACAAGATGTTTTGCTGTCTATGGCCGAGTACCCATTCCCACCTGGGTGAAGTGTGAAGAAAATTCGTGTAAAGTGCAGACTAGCTAGAGAACCCCAAACCACCCGCTTTTCTCATGATCAAAACAGTCTGTTCGTACCATATCATTCAATATTGTTTCGTTATACCACCATTGTAGTCAAATCAAAGATCGTACATAACAAGACAGTTCTTCTTCTTTTTCTTCTTCTTCTATCTCATGGTTGGGGCAACCGTGGGGGCACCACTGCATCTGAAAACCAGCTCTCGCCATCTATTTTTGTCCTCTGCTTTCCTCAGTTTGTCACCCATCGTCTTTCCTGTCCACTCTGTAAAGTTGTCCTCCCATCTCCTTCTCTGCCTTCCTCTCTTTCTCTTTCCTTGTACGGTTCCTTGCAGGATTGTTTTGGCAAGTCCTGTGGATCTTATGACATGCCATTACCATTTTAATTTTCGTCTCTTCACTGTGGTCAGTAGATCTTCATGTTGCCCTACTGCGTTGGCGATTCTCTTTCGTACCTCAGCATTCTGAAACGTGGTCTTTGTACGAGATGTCAAGGAGTCTGCACAAGATAGTTCACTCCCCTCTAATTTAAAAAAAAGTATCCTCAAAATTCGTTGGCAGCCTCTTCGAAAAAGTGCGGACTTTGCGATCCGAGTCACACCTATTTGTGTGAAAAACAATAAAAATGAAACTAACAAACAGTTCTTTTCTTTTTCTTCTTCAGGAGAAATGAAAGAGAGCTTCAAAAACCTTGAACATCAATGATTTATTTATAGAGACACCAGCTATTCTTGCCCAGGTGGTGTTTAGCCTCTTTTTCCTGTCTGCGGATTAATATTCTTTTTTCCAATGTATTGGTTCCGCTTCCATATAGCTTCAAAAAACCTTGACCATCAATAATTTATTTATAGAGGCACCAGCCATCCAGGCCCAGGAGCTGTTTTAGCCTAGCTTAAAAAATAAAGACCACAGCACTATCTGAACCAATGAGCGGACTTCCGCGTACACTTTTTTGGCTGAGTGAACTATCTTGTTATGTACGATCTTTGGTCAAATTTACCTTCCTTATTTTTGTTTTTGTTTCCCTTCTACTTCCAGAAGACCCGCGACGCCTCTCAAAGTGAAGCCGGCTGCAGAGGGTGACTAGTGAGTAACTAATTACCACAATAATGTAGCCTTGTAAGCTATAACTTGTACAATGCATAATACATAATATCTATCTATCCATCTATCGACAACAATGTAGCATTTAAGGCAAGAGCCTCTATCTATCTATCGATCCAACTATCTATCTATCTATCTATCTATCTATCTATCTATCTATCTATCTATCTATCTATCTATCTATCTATCTATCTCTCTCTCTATAGGAAACTAATTATTAATTTGAAAACAAACTGACACTTTTATAAGGTACCTAAACTGCTTTCCAGGTAGCCTAGTAAAGCTTACAGAACCCTACTTTCTTTCTGGGAAGCTTTTGTTATGCATAACCCGAATTCAGCAGGCTTCGTATGTCTTGTTGTGATTAGAATAACATTGCATGGATACCTTGCGGGCTTTGGTGCTGGTGGATATTCTGTCCTGGGCACTCTGGAGTGAAGGGCAATGAGGAGGCTGATAGGCTGGCAGGCAGTGCCGTGGTTGATGGTGAGGTAAAATTTGATAAAGGAGAAGTGTTGAAGACCCTGGAGGAAAAGTTGCAGGAGGAGGAAGACAGGGAGACAGCAGAACACCACGCAATCATTAGGATGCGGGAAATAGGGATAGAGAGGGGAGAAGGAAGAAAGGAGCGATTATCTGGAAAGGAAAGAAGTCGCCATAATCAGACAGCCACCGGAACAATCAGCATGGGTACCTTGCGGGCTTTGGTGCTTTGGGTGGTTGGGTGGGGAACTGAACACTTATGGACCTGTCCGGTGTGCAATGACGTTGTTGCCTAGAACAGGTAATACAGGTAATACAGGAATAACATTAAACCTCACAGACATTGGAGTTACGGTAAAGACTATGTCCTTTTCAGAGAAACAATTTTTTTCGCAGGATTTAACTATATTTTTGAGACACCCGGAATCTGAACCATTTGGCACTTCTGTCAACATGAAACAAAAAACATGATGTAAAGTATATTGTTATGTCATCCTCATTTTTTTTTCAAAATATGATGAGTTGGATTTAGGTGAAAAGGTATCCAAAACAACAACAACAACAACAACAGCAACAACGACAACAACAACAACAACAACAACAACAACAACAACAACAACAACAACAACAACAGCATCACCACCACCACCACCTCCGCAACATCACCACCACCACCACCACCACTACCACCACCAACAACAACAACAACAAGAACAACAACAACAATAACAACAATTGCAGCAACTATAACAATACGGTACTGAGGGGAGTAAAAGTTAATATAAGATATTACATGATAAATCAACAATCACCATGGTTACAATATACATGTACATATTTATAACAAAACCTATATGTGAGGCAGCGTGGTGGAATCAGGCTCTCGTCAATTTTTGAGCATACTGAGTTATTGGTATCATCGTAAAGCTCGTTCATTTGTCTTTCTTTCAATGAAAACATTACCCGTCCATCTTCAATAGAAGTGGAGATATTTTGGATTGAAGGAGGTGGGGGTCACCTGGTTTAAGAGGTAAAGTAAGGGAGGAAATGGCACCCAAAGCTTTGTAAATTCCAAAGCTGGAGAGTCCATGGAAACTGTAAATTTATATTTTTG